GGCCTGAACGAATTGTTTTTTTAGATGATTTCAGTGAAAATATACATCAAAAGATTCATCAATCTCACGAACTGAAATTGACCTTAGGGTAAATTATGGACCCGAAATCAACAAACATAATACAAAAGTGACTTACCTTTACCCTTCATACTCTCCTCCTCCTTCGAACTCCCCTCCTCCCTTGAACTACTCTCTCCACTACTCGCTTCATTATTCTGTTTCCTCCTAGGCGACTTTTTTCTTTCTTGCCTACTTTCTGCCAATTGCATGAGAGGATTAACTCGTGCTGGTTTATGTCAAGCCAATATCAGTATTACATTGACTACGACCATAAAATATATAGACAGGTAACACGCTAAACGTTCTATGTAACAATAACAACTAATTATGTATATAATTCAGTGATTTCAAAATTTTTGGAAGATTTCTTCTGCACTTAAATCGACTATACTATCAAAAAGGAAGCAACAAATGAGTAATCGAAATATTTGTAAGAACTGTGTATAATTATCTTCAAATTCTGACTTCTAAAGGCCTGGAATACTTTTTTACAGGCTAATAGCAGAACAAACTAACCTATAACTTTCATTAGAATGATAATAAATATTTTCCTACTAGTTAGCACTTCAAAACCGCTTTTAGACGGTAGGCACCTAGATGGAAGATTAACAATTTGTGCATAGTTTTCATATCGCTATAATTGTTACTCTTATTCTGCAGAATAACTAATACTTGCCATAATTCATATGCAGATACTTCCTAATATTCAAATTTAGTTTTAGTTCAAAATAACATAAGTATTGTACTTGTGATGTACTGTTTGGAACCTTTGGTGTAGTAATGAATATTACTGGAGTTTTTTCCCAACACCAAATCGTTATTTTTACACCTCGACACGTGTTTCATTTTTAATTATTACCCGACAACTTTTCTTGCTATTTTCTTATACCTATCTATTACCGTTTTCGAAATATGAAATAATTTCAATTTTTTTCTCGGAAATCATGACCTCTAAAAATGCTGATATCTTTGTGTTATGGTACGGTAATTTGGTTTGAAGTTAGGTATACTCATGATATGCATAGAACAAAAGCAAATTTCAACAGCTGTCTGAGTTTATAAAAATGCACAGGTTGTTTCGTTTGAAATAATCAACTTTCAGTCAATTTTTCAGGCAAACGAAAAAACTGTATTTTTTTACCACCCTGTATTGAAGTAACGGAGATTACGCTTCGTGGGAAGCCTTCAAATATCACCTAACTCCAAACCAAATTTTGGTACCATAGAATTCCTCAACTCAAAGATATAAACATCTTTAGAGGTCATGATTTCCCAAGAAAAAAAAATTAATTCATATATCGAAAACGGTAACAGATATCTGAAGGGATATATCAAGAAAAGTTCTCGGGTAATTGTTGTAGATTCCAAAAATAATATTATATACAGTTCCATTTGAAAAGTCAAAGTTGCTATTTCTTTCTAATGAAAGTGGCAACACAGCATTGTCAGAAATATTTTGGTTGAATAGAAGTGATACCATGTATGGCTCATCAGAACGTTCAATGTGCCATCCACCGTGAATCAGCCTGTATATCTTGCATAACTATAATACTTAAGATTTCATTAATATTTAAAAAATCAAGATTTCGTCACAAAAGTACTTACTATGATTATAACAATACCTACTCAGAGTACTTCCTGAAGTCATAGAAAGCTGAAATGTAAGCTTCAATTAGCAAGAAATCAAGAAATCTGTATGTTTTTCCTTTCATCCCCAAAAATATGGGGTAATATTTTCTATACATTTCTCAATTTTCAAGCTGAATTGATATATAGACAATTCGTTATAAATAAAAAATAGGTATTTAACACCTTTCCATAGTCACTCCACAAACTCTTAAAATAGGATATGCAGATTTGTATAGGACGAATTGAAGACTTAATAAAATGCTACCTATTCATATTCGATCGGTGAATAATGTTACGAGACAAGCAACTTACAAAATAAAGATTTGCCACTAACAATGTTTTCATGGAAAGTTTTGCTAAGACGAATACATAATATTGCTTGCATTAATCTCACAGTCAGCTAAGCTCCTCATATTAGGGAGTGTAGACAAGCCTTTATTCTACAAACCCTACCTTATAGTTAAAATATGTGGCTTAGCCGTTTCTTCGCCCCGGAATCTACTGTCTCAAATTTGTAAATACTTTTCTAACCATAAGCCCATGGGTGTAATACGTTAGATTAGGTACAAAGTGAGTGGGTCTATTCGAACTTCCACCGCAACCCGCAAAGGTTTATTGTGGCTCACACCTATTCACACTCGACCAAATAAACCCAGCTTCTTAACGAATCCAATTATTTTGTATGGTGAGTGGTCTTTCAGGTCAGATGTACGGCTCTGCCGAACTCTAAAAACCTGATTCGGTCCCCAGCTGGGCAGGCACAAAGTATGTGCTCTGCTGTTTTATTATTTTCCAAACAGAGACGACACACTCTCTTCCGACAGTCCGAGTCTCTGCATATGATGATTCAAATGACAGTGACCTGTAAGAAGACCTGTTAGATATCGTAGTTCATCCCTAATGTTTTTCAATAACTGCTTGGTATCAAGCTTGGAAGGGCGAATAAACGCTTTAGAGTGAGCCACTCCTGGAAGATTCTGCCAAAAGTCCATAAATCTTCATGACATCCAGGTGTTCAATCTTTGTTTGGCAAAGCCTAAAACGATGCCAATGACAGTTCTTGTCCCTCCTTTGCAAGGAAGTCAGCAGCCTCATTGTCTTCCAGGCCAGGAGAGTCGTTTTTGGCAATTTGCTTCGAACGCCGCTTGACTGTCCGAGAATATTTTTTGACTTGTATATGAGGTTGGATTCTTCCAATCTCTCCGCACACAATTCAATAGCGTAAATTTCCGCTTGAAACACAGTCGCATAGGTTCCTAAGCAGGTTGATATATCTGTCCTGGGTCTGCGACTGAAAACACCTGCACCAGAACCGGAAGGTGTTTTAGATCCATTTGTGAACCAACAACTATAAGCTCTTAATATTTCGTTCTCCCGGAGGATCCACTTCTCCATGGGAGTGTACATGATCACTATTGAACGATAAAGTGACATAAACGATAGAGTTTTGTAGAGTTAAGGCGTGTCTTCACTCCCTAGCATGAGAAACTCAACCCATTATGAGATTTGAAAACTCGTCCTCGCAATACTTCACATGAAAATGTTTTGTGGGTATTTTTTACCAGTTATTTTTTAAATTTGAGTAATTTTTTAAATTTTGTATTGATTTTACGGTACGACTAATTATTCTCTTATACTAAATAAGTACCTTTTTTAATTATTGCTCTTTATTCGATAATAAATCTTGTCACTAATTTTTGAACCTCTTCGTTTAATTAATTTTAAAACAAATTATCAAAACTTCCTTATCAAACCGAAAACAGCGAAGCGAGTGACTGAGTCGATAACTTTATTTTAAAATGCGAGTATATCAAATAAATATAAAGAAAATGATCTGGAAGACTATTGGCATATGTATATGGAATATACCCGGTTTATGTAATCGTTATATTAAGTTCGTATTATTCGAAAACACTAGGTCAAAATCCCAGAACCACCAGTTATACATCAATTTAGTGAAGCTTATATTTTGGACAATATAAGTATGGGTACTGTCTGTTTTTAACCGAAAAATCATTGTTGACTGCCTCATATTTCATTTCAGAAAAATATGTTGCATTTTCTTTGAATAGATTTAAAAATTTTCAAAAGAACATCTTCTGAATCAGTTAATTGCCTAATAAATAAAAGAAAACATTCAAAGTGTGACAATTTTACTCAACTTGAAGATTTGTGGGGATAAGCTTCATTAATAACTACATCTACACAGCCTGTACGTAAAATAATAATTCATAATATGGTAATTCTCAACTGATTACAACGCATATTCTTCAATCACACTGATGTTGTATCAATTATACACCTCCTACTCTCACTTCTGTGTTTCAAATTTGACAGGGTGATCACTCTCTAAAGTTGGTGGGAAATATCAATATCTAATAAATATTCCTAGTTACGCCATCTCATTATTACATACGAAGTAACTGAAAGGAAACTGTACAGCTCAAAATTTAAGCTATACAGTTTCCTTAGAAGCCCAACTACGGGTGGCGCTCCTGCCGTGGCTGGCACGATGACTTGGGCGTTGCGTTGTAACTGAATTAAAACATAAAAAATCAGGTAACTTTGTGGGATTTCATTATATAGTTCATCAGGAATCATTGGCATCCAAAGAATTAAAAACCTACAAATAAAATAGTAAGTTTTTTAAGGAACATAGGACTACATCACCTTCAGTTCAGGCAGTTTTTAAAAGATTAGAACGAAAAGTTTTCTGATTTCATCGAAGTTCGTTGACTTAGTCGAGGAGTAGCTTTAAAAAAATGTTTGCATTACGTAACCCTATTCGAGCTTTCATGTTAGAAAGAGGCAACCCAATTGATTATGAGAATGACTGGTGGGTTGATTGTGCCTTTCTGGTAGATATTATGTGGTAGCCGAATGCCAAGTGGCGGCTACTATATGCTTTGGAATTCTACATCTAGAGCAGTAATTTCAGTGCATTCAAACAAAGACAAATTGATTAATGTCTTTGATTTTATCCTAAACAGTGAAGATTTCAAAACCGACGACCAAAGTCTTAGGGAGGCGAGAGGTTTCAAATATATTTTAAATGATACACTTAACCAAAGATATTACCAAATATTAGAGTTATGTTTTATTTAATACAGTCTGTAACTGAAGCAAAGAATATTATTTTTATGTTTTTGTTTTTATTTTTATTTTGTAATTCGTTTTTTTGAGTTTTGTTCGTCTTGGTTAAGAATGAATGTTATGTTTACTTCTAGTTTCTTTTTTTATTTTTTCATTCCTTTCCAAAATTACAAAATACACCTTTCAATTCATCTTTCAAAATGCGGGACCGTCGCAGACTATATTGAACTTGAATGGCCGCCCATTAAAAGTAGTTTGCGGATGCCTTGTGAATTCACTTAAACAAACCAGATTTAACCTTCCTTCGTACCCCATCCTTCCTTTACTTTCCTGGCAAGACACGACTCTCACTTCCCTGTTGGCTGGACAATGAAATTTACTTTTAGTCCTGTTTTTATAAGCATAATTAAGAACTTGTGCTTATAAAATATTTGTAGCAATGTTTAACAAAACTGTTATATTAGAAGAGAAAAGTATTATTTATTGA